CAAGAAATAAGCAACATCTTCATGGGAATATGTCAAGGTAATGGGGATACATCAATAAACATATTCTTTTCACTCCCCCTCCCCCCCTTGAAGAGGAGGGGAGGAGAGCACTTAAATTGCAAGGAGAACGCAAACACAGGTCACAAGAAAACCTAGGCTCTTATACCATGTCAAACAAAGTAGGGCAAATATTCAAATATGCTCAGATATGCTCATATTTGCTCATCTCCAATATGGAGGTATTTATATAAGTACAACCCTAAATAAAATAGGAAATAAATCTAAATTACAATAGAAAGTAAATCTAAATTACAATAGGAAATAAATCTTAATTATAATTGGACTAGACAAATAGGTAAGTAACTAAAATCCTAACATAGTAAGGAACCAAAATCCTAACTAAGTAAGGACTCGCCAACAATATATTCTTGCATTTGATAGGATCAAACCCTCCAGCACCACAATCTTGAAACTCACTGAAAAAAAAAAGCTAGGCCACCAGTTATGATCATGTTGACTTTTGTTATCTAGCCAAATTTGAACTTACACCAAATTCAACCTTCTCAAAGATAACTTATTTTTCACATAATTAAAGTAATTAATTCTTATTTATTAGCAAATTGATAATCTGATAGAGGTAGTAGCTACAGGAAGACATGATGTGTTTGCTATCTTTTTCCAATAATGCCAGAGACTACCTTCAAGCTCCCACAAACTATATACTTATTAACCTTTGAAAGAGGAGAATTAACTTCAGTTTAACACACTAAATTTGAGCTCCAGCATAATAATTATGTGAGATTGCTTATTCTATATCTGTTCAAAATTTAAAACACAAAATTTGCAAAGTCAACCAAGAGACTCTCCCCCGTTTCCTCCCCAATTTTTGCTGGGGTTTGCTTCTTTCGAGTTTTGTGCTGGGTTTTGTTTCCCCAGTTCTTTTGGACTGACTTTTAAAGATCCTTTTTGTTGTGGAGGTAAAATAATTCTGTGAGATCATGTGGGATGCTGGAGGTGCTGTGATCTTCTATGGGCAAGTGGATGTTGAGCAGTAAGGCCCTTTCACTTTTGGTGTTTCTAGTTCATGTTCATGCAGAATCAGCTGTTCTCATAGCCACTCTGTAGCACTGGGGTTGTAAAGAGTTTTCTTGATCAGCTATCTGTCAACTTTGAGTGAGTTAGACTTGATTTTGTAATAGTTATTACTCACTATCTTACTAAATTTATTTTTCCTGATTTATTGTATGCAAGAGCCTCTCTTTGGAGTATGTTTTTCTTGTACATCTCTTATATTTACTCATTTATTACTGAAATTCTGCTTGTTCTAAATTTTTTTTTGAAAAGTCAAGGCACGCTATTATTATAACAAATTCTCTCTCTCTCTCTCTCTCTCTCTCTCTCTCTCTCTCGATACCAAATTTTTTATCCAACTTTAGCTGTTCCACGTGTGTACAAACCCAGTCAAACTTGGCAGCTAGCTTCTAATCCAACACATGTTACAACTCCACAAGATGATCAAATCTAAATTTCGAAAATTAAAAAAAGATTCAGATTTAATTACTACCATGATTTGATGAAAGTTGTTGACAATCTTTATTAAATCATAATGATGGCCATATATAAAAGTATATAATGATTTTTCAAGAAATAAACAGTGATATATATTTATGCATGATGTCAAATTGGGGTAGACAAGAATGGTTCCACTGCATGTTATTGATTGTTGACACCTTGAACTGTTCCAAAACTAGAATAAATAAATACATTTATAACTTAGACAAATAGATATTTTATTAATTTTTACATTCACACACAAACAAAGAAAACCAAACCCAACAAAAGAAAAGTCTTTGCCTCCTCCTCCTCCATTGTCTTATTGCCATTCTTTGCATTGAAACCTTCGAACTCCTGTCTGCTCCGCTTCTTCTTCTTCTTTCTTTTTTCTTCTTTTTTTACTTACCCCATGGAGGATTTCAGATCTAAGTCATGTAGAGATGGGAGGATGGAGGTTTACTATGGAGGCAAGGCAGCTCCAACAAGCATGCAGGATCTAAGGAGTTTCAGTACCAATTATGCAGGTTCTTGTGTTTCTCAGCCAAACAATCAGATGGTTAAGGATGTGAAGGTCAAGAAAGGGAAGAGCAGTTTGGGGTCCACCTCAAGGAGCTGGAGCTTAACTGATCCAGAGTTGCAAAGGAAGAAGAGGGTTGCTGGCTATAAGGTTTATACTGCAGAGGAGAAGATGAAAGGGTCTCTGAGGAAGAGCTTTAGGTGGATCAAGAACACCTACACCCAAGTAATCTATGGCTGGAAATAATTGATTGGGACTTTGAAAAAAAAAATGAAAATTTTAAATAAATAAATCTTTTGGGTTTGTAGTCAGCTCATTAGTGTTTTTTGTTCTGTGCATTTGTGAAGTGAACTATGCATCTGTGTAAGAGTCTTGATTGCCAAAGAAATTAATTACATAAAAGAATCCAATATACTTATGCTTCATCTCTGTAATTATAGCTCAAGAATTTCTTAAATCCTTCATTAGCTAAGCAAGAAACCTTAGTCTGTGAAATCAAATTTATATACCTCCTTAATCATTTTCCCAAGCCAGTGTGATTGTGATTTCTGTGATGGTTGTTCTTGGGCTTCAAATTATTGAAGGTATGTTTTGATAATGGTAAATCCTTTTTCATTGTAAAAAGATTAAAATACCCAATGCAGTATTTTTATGTGGAGATTTCATTCATTTAGGCCACTCTGTTGAGTAACTGCCCTCCTCTCTCTCTTTTCTTTTTGAGCTTGTCATTGTTTGAGGGAGGTGCTTATGCTGAAATGTGGATGGTGGAACGCTAATGCAGATGGTAGTTTCGTTCGATTTGGTATATGGAGTCTGGATTATGAATGGAGGGTTCCAAAAGGCATGATGCTGTTAAGATGCAGTCTATCTGTGATCCAAATGTGTCCTGACAGAGTCTAAATACAGTTTGTATATGCCTAAATATGTATATGTTTTGAAGAGATTTAGATCCAATCAGATGTGATATGTTGTGGCTCTAGATGTGATCCAGATCACATCTTGATCGTACTGTGAAGTGAACCATAGCATATACATCTAAAACAAATGTAGACACAACTCAATCACATCCACACACATCTAAAAAACATCTAGACACCATCAAGACACATTTTGATCACATCTAATTGCATCTGGACCTTAAAGGTGTTTAGGATATACCCAGAAATGGTAAGAAGAAACTAGCATAAAGAACTTCATGCTCTGTCACTTGGGAGTTTGAGTTGGGTTAAACGGAGCTCAAATTGCAGATATAAATTGTTTGGAATCCAATCTGAGTACCAATTTACAGTGCCACACAACTCTCTTTCTTTAAACATGCATCTCTCAGAAGAAAGACGGTTGAATGCATCATATTTGGTGAAGACATATATATGGATATGAAACCTCAAGGTATAGTGAATTGCCATTCGAAATTAACTTCTCACATGTCACCTGAAAAGTACATCTTTGTGTGCATAGTCATTTAAAAGTCAATCTTTACAAGACAGAACGAAGTAAAAGAAATGCCTATTGCAATGTTCAAAGTAGAGAAGGATTTGACTATTTGTGGGAGCACAACTTACAATGAACAAGTGGTTCTTAAGATCCTCTTAATCATCAAATGAATATAAAAAAACTGAACAAGCTTCATCCTACAATCGTCTCACTCCGCCTCTCTGCTCAAGTTCTAATACAAGTTCTGCAAGACCTATTTCCCCATGAAAGATGCTCAACAATTCAGTACTTTCTCTTGATAGTTGATCAAAAACCTGTCCAAGAAAAACTTCTTACTCTTCATCAGTATGGTATTTAAAGAAAATTCTTCCTTTACTATTAAGGCTTTCAACACTAGAACAACACCTAGGTATGATCCACTTCTCTAAACTATGAGATAGAACACCTGAATTTCCAGCCACATCTGGAGGCTATTTTGTTCATAAGAAAATCAATTTTACTAGAAAAATTCATCTCAAAGAAGTTCATAAACAAGGGATTCTTTCTAAATGCCAACAAGAAATCATCTTCAGTCCAACCACACTTCCTATATTTTTTTTTTTCCCATTTTGATGCATCCATCATGGACATCACATGCGGTGCTTTCATGAATGCTGCAGATGAAGGTCGGAACGCCATGCTCATGACCTTGTCGGACATCCCAACAGGATAACAGGTCACCCACAAGAAGATTAAGGATTCTGGCACTCCAAGTGCTCTGAGAACTAAAATATTGGGAGCAACATTGCCTATTACTTTGTCCATCAATACCTTTTTCGGAATTCCTTAAAAAATGAGCAATCTTCACATCGAGGAGAATTACTTTGTCCCTGTGTTAGCTCCCTCTCTGTTTTATTATCCTCATCTTTGATAAATTGGGCTTTACTTGTCATTAATTTCTAGTTAACCACAAGAAAAGAATAGAAAAAATGGAGAAATTTTAGGATGTATTAAATTTGTACTTGGTGTAAATTTTGCAACGTTAAGAATTCCAACATAACAAAAGGGAAAACTGGGGAGAAATCACATGGAACTAACAAAACCAAAGAAAAGAAGCAAAAACCAATAACCATATCAAAAGTAAGGATGTTTAAACACAATCCAAGAACCCTATCCATCGATTGGTTGGTGGATTTCTTTTGTTGTTAAAGCTGAAAAGTCTGTGGTGGCCAACTTCGAAGCTAAATCAGACACATATATGTGAAGAATCTAGCCTCACTTGTCAGGTGATACCACCAGAATTGACAAGGGCAAGTTTCCGTTTCATCAAGCCCTTATTTTTAAAAATAAAAGAAGGAATTATCTAATATAGAATCGCAGAGTATAATGAGAATGCCATTAGAAATTAATACCTCCAAATCACTTTTTATTTTATTTTTAAACGTCGTTCTGCATTGCTGTATGAGAATCATTATTTACAAAACAGAACATAAAAAAGATATTCTATTGTAATATTCGAAGTAGAGCAAGATCTAACTCTTTGTGGCAGCAGAACTTACAATGAATAAGTAGTTCTTATCATCCAGTTTAATCATGTATTTAAGTACAAAACTAACAAGCTTTGTCTTACAATTGGTTCACTCCACTTCATTCCTAAAATCCAAAGCCGAGTTCCACAATACCGATTTTCCCTTGAAGGATGTGCAGTAATTCAGGTACTTGCTCTTGATATCTGATCACAAACCTATCCAAGAAGTACTTTTCGGGAGCCATAATGGTACCTAAAGAAAATTCTCCCTTTACGATCAAGCCCTTCAACAGCAGAACTCTAATAACTGAACACCTAGGTATGATCCACTTCTCCAAACTATAAGTTAGAACAGTTGGATTTCGAGCCACATCTGCCGGTTGCCAACCCATCATAAGAAAATCCATTTTACTCGAAAACTTCTTACATGATAAGCTCATAAAAAAGGGATTCTTTCTAAACGCCAACAAGAAATCATCTTCAGTCCAACCGCACTTCTTATATACTTCCATCTTTTGATCCCATGTTAATGCATCCGTCAGACTAATTACATCGAGTGCTTTCATGAATGTCGCAGATGAAGGGGCGAATCCCATACCCGTGACCTTCTTGATATTTTCCTTGAACTTCTCAGTATCAAGAGACAGTACAAAAGGATGACAGGTCACCCACAAAGAAATTGAGGCTTGTGGCACTTCAAGTGCTCTCAGAACTGAAATATTGGGAACCATATTGATTAGTTTGCTCGACATCACCCTATATGAGCTCCTAAGAAAAAGAGCAACCTTTTCATCGACAAGAAGTAAACTTTTGATAATATCATAACAAGGTATGATAGTTCTCTCTAGGCTGTGTTTCAATATTATATCTGGGTTGGAATAGAGGACCCGAAAAAGGCCAGTGCCTGACAAGCCAACAGAACTGAGAAACTCAAGTTTGGGCACAACGGTCTTCTCAGCATTGGCTGAGAGCAGCTTTGGGCGTTTCCTAACAAGTTGGGAGATGTGGTCATCAGAGAATCCATGGTTTCTTAGAACATTAAGAACTGAGTCTGGTCCTTCTCGGTTATCAAACTGTACAGTCTTGGAAGCAGAGAGAGCCAGTTTTGGGGACAACCCACATGAGTTTATGAGGTATGAAACTGTAAAAGAGATAACTTTTTCTTGTAGCTTATCATTTCCAGAAACTAATGATGATTTTGATGAATATGAGCTGATAAAAATAGGTTCTTTTTGAAAGAAATGCAAATGGGTCACTGAACCACCAACAATTCTACAGCTTGGAAGCAGTAATTGCAATCTTTTACAAGAATTAGAACCAAGCATAATTGCAATGGACCCAGAAAAGATCAGACAAAAGCGCAGTACTTTCAGTGAACGAGAAGGGACTCACCAAAGACTAATGGTCTCTATGCTCAGCTTCGACCCGCCAGCAATTAACTGTTCCAAGAACTGATTACTTCCGACGTCAATTTGGGATTTAGGGTTTGCTCCTCCGCTCATCAAAGAACAGAACTGACAGAAGGGTATAATGGGCCGGTGGGAAAAAATTCTCATGCTGCAAATTCGTGCCTATAGGCCCTATACTATCATTTTTTACATGTGGGTTTCAGTTGTAAAGGCATTTGAGTCTTTTTATGTGAGTTTTTGACAATTTTTGAAAAGGCACTTTATCACAAATGATCTTTGAGGTTTGCGAAATTATCACCTTTTGTCTCTAATGTTTTTTTGTAACACTACTGGTATTTAAAGTTACCCCTACACATCAAAATGATCTTTGCCGTTAGCTTCCATCAAATTTTCTATTAAATTGCTGATGTGGCATGTGTGTGGAGCCCACACATCCAATGGTATAAAGCCACGTGGCTTTAAATAAAATAAAATATATTTTAGATATTTTAAAACAAAAACAAAAATACCCGCACCCTCTGCATTCTCACTCTGCCAGCGCCCTTTCACCCATCGCAGACCCACCTTTTGCCTCTCTCTCCCTCCTCTTCCTTCCTTCTCTTTCTCTCTCTCCCTCTCCCTCTCCCTCTCCGTGTCTCTTTCTCTCTCTCCCTTCTGCTTATCTGTTTTTGAAACAGAATTACCAATGTAGCTCCTTTCAAGATCAGGCAATGCCTTCTGCCTTCTTGCTGCATCCTACAAGATTAAATTGGTCAAATTTGGTTAAACAGGTCTGCAACATAATGAAATTCTGCAGAAAATAAAAACCTACAGATAAAATTACCAAACTTGAATAAGTAGAATACCATGTGTGCAGAGGCAATATATGCAGAGTGTGTTCCAGTTTTGATATCACAGCACTATGTTCTGCCTTTCAGTGATGTGCTCAGTTGGGAGTCCTTCTCTGTTCAAGTTTCGGTAAGCGAAATTCCACAGCTTAAAGACCTCTTAATGGTCATGGTGCAGTTTTTTTTTTTTTTTTTTTTTGGATTTAAACTTTTAAAATATTAAAAATATTTATTTATTTTATTTAAAGCCACGTGGCTTTACACCATTGGATGTGTGGGCCCCACACACTTGCCAGGTCAACAATTTAATGGAAAATTTGACGGAAGTTAACGGCAAAGACCATTTTGATGTGTAAAGGGTAACCTTAAGGACCATTAGTGTCACAAAAAAACGTTAAGGACGAAATGTGATAATTTCGCAAACCTCATGGACCATTTGTGATAAAAAGCCTTTTGAAAATTAACATTTATGAAAATAGGGGGTAAATTTTGACTTCTTTTATATATAAAAACTCAATGACAAGTAGCTTATTTTTTTGTTGTTGTAAAACTTTATGTATTTGGACGATATTTTGAATCCAATAACTATTTATAACGAAAAATTAGACCAGTGCCGCCAGGCTGGCTTGGTTGCAATTTGGCACCTGTCAAGAAAAAAGGAACCAAAAAAAAAAGTTTTAATTACATATATTGAGTCTTTGTTTGGGTCTCAGTATAGGTTAAGTTATTGGTTGCTTGTTTTTATTGTAATGGAATCTTTCGAAAAGATATTTCTATCGTTTTAGAAAAAGACAAAAGAAAAAAGTTTTAGTTACCTCAATTTTCTCTAATTGGGTTGTTGCCAATGCCACGATCCAGTCACACACGTTATCCAATAAGCGTGTGTCGCTTTCTGGGGCATTACAATACCTTTAGATTAGGTGTAGCTTTTTGCAAAAGTCTTGTATGAATCTCCGATTATGCGAAACCACCGCATATTGTATACCGATTACGTAAATTTAAATTAATGCTCATACCAGTTCCAACATAAAAGTAATAATACTTTTCACAACCTTCTCACATTTAACATTTTCATTAAAAAGGAAAATAAGTTGGTGTATATTTTTACATGTCAGGATAAATCTTTAGTTCTCAACCCAATTTTGGGAAAAATGATGCTCCATTAGGTTACCGGAGACACCATATTTTCGGATGATTAATGATCTCTAATTCTGAATGACTTTTTTGTGTGCCATCTGATTGAAGACGCAAGTTACAATCAATGAGAATAAGGATCAAATTTATGACTCCCACAAGGATTGGGGTTCCTTGGCCCTCAGAAAATAAAGGCTCAGATCATCAGCATTTCTTTTTCTGATGGTAACTTTGCATAAAAACCAAAAATAAAAATAAAAATTGAAATTGATTGATCTTGGAGTTCCTTGAAACGAGGACAATCTCATGTATATAAGTTTCATTCTTGCCATTCTCATCTACCAAAAGGCTAAATTGGAATCTGTAAATTTATCAAAAAAATCCACAATGTTTATAAAAAGTAGTATCTAAACCAAAAATTCTCCCCAAGTCCCTCAACTCACCCAGAAAACCCAAAAAAATTAAAAAACAAAAATAGAGAGAGACATAGAATGGCTCAAATCTTTTATAATCCAGGTAGGGAAGGAGGATACACACAACAAAAATAATCAAACAATCTTATACGATAAATTCCTGAACGTATTTCTATCACGCAATCGAATATGTCAACATTGTGCTTGAAAATATAACGGCAACAGAAGTAGTACCCACCTCAACTTGTAGGCTTGAACAATCAGGTTCTTTTAACTATTTTATAAACTAAGGAGGAAGGATTACAATTATCATAGACAATATGCATCACAAAATCAAAGCATTTGGTGTACTTACAGTGTCTATCTGCATTTGACCCACACATTGTAATGTTGGATGAAAACCACAAACATGCATGATAAGATATGAAGTTAAACAAAGGTATTAAAAGAAGGTGAAACCAGGGCAACCCAACTCGAACTCTATTGACAAAGGCCTTTTTTTACCTGGGTTGGTTTTCCGGGCATCCAATTTCCACTTCTGTATCTCGTCTTTATTGCAAACTGCTTAGAGAGAGACAGGCCCCGAATTGTTGCAGCTTTCCTCAAAACATAATACACTTAAACCAAATTCCACCCCAAGCGCGTGACAAATGTATAGGTTTTTTTTAAAATTTACAGCAGACGATAAATTGGGAGAGGCTGCTACTAATACTGTACTCTCTCATCATTATTGAAGTGCAGGCTCTCGATGCCCCTGAGAGTGGACTCTAAGGTCTTTACGTTTGAAATATTTCTTCCAGAAGATGTACGATTGTTCTCTGAAGGTACAACTGGTGAACTTCTTTGGCCACTAGAAATTTTACCTAGTGTTCCAGGGCTCAAATCTGAGGTTTGAGGGCGAGAGAGATCAGACTCACTGCCAACGATCACTGCATCGCGACTGCTAGAGACTGCAGCCCTCCTCGATGATCCACTTGACCGCAAGAAATTAGAACTTGATAACTGCATGAATCCAAACAAAATGAACTAAATAAACTAATCTAAGACTCTACAAAAAAACCCAAATAGTAATGAACTTGCACAATGCTGTACTTGTCAAACTGGTCAATAAAAAATAACCGAAGGGGATAAAACCTTATTTGAATCAAAATACAAAATAAATTCTTTACCATTGCGTCTTTAGATAGAGATGGATCATTTGCAGCAGGACTTTTTTGTCTAGACAAGTTTCCAGAATTTACAATTGGCCCAGAGTTTCTCCTACGAGAGGGATCTGACAACGACCAACCTGTAGGTCTACCTTCCTCACCACCTTCAAAAAGTTAAATACAAACAAAATTAAAATTTGGGCTACGTGAAGAGAAAGACACTTATGAATACTGGACTTCAATATGATAAGAAACACAAAAGATAAAAATAGGGGAGTAGACTTATAATAGCCAATAAAGTAACCCACTCTACGTAGCAAAACAAGTACATGTGACTGCATTTTCCAGGACACCGAACTAAGTAAGTAGAGAAACACTAAAACAGAGTTTTGACATGTAAATGGATTCCTATTATGCAGAAAATGAAAAGAATGGTAGAATTACCAGATTGTCTTTCAGCATTTGCAACAGCTGGAGGTAAGCCAGAGCTTGGTCCAGCACTAGCACCCTATTAAATAGTAAATAATGTAAGCTAAATGGTTGAACTAACAAAACACTAAAAAAGTTCACATCACTTACAAGAGCACGAGCAGGAGGTGTGGCAATCTGTGACTGCTGATATTTCAAGATGGTCCAATCAAAGACATAATCAAACTGAAAGCCTGAAGCAAGAAGGAAACCATATAAGTAGATGTGGTTAATGTGACACTACTATAAGATCAGTAGAGCAGCCTCAAGTAACCTATCAAAAAAGAATTTCAAACCTTCCCGAATAAAAAGGTCACGAAAGAGTCTCTTCAGATATGCATAATCTGGTTTATCATCAAACCGCAGAGACCTACAGTAATGGAAGTACGATGCAAACTCTGTAGGATAACCACGGCATAAGGCCTAAGAAAGAATTAAGAAAGAAGCAGTGAATATTCCATACTGTAATAAATATCATTGTAAATAAAGAATAAACAAAGAATTCATTATATAAAGAATAAACAAAGAATTCATTATCATTAGATTTCAGCTTACCTCAATAGAAGTTGACACTTTCTTTTCACTGATCTTCTCATACTTTTGCTTTTTTGTTCCCGCTTTCAAGCCCTGCCAAGGAAGGCTAAACAGGAAGAAAAAAAGGTCATAAATAATCGAATATGCAAAAAGAAATATATACAACACTGGCAGGCACAATAGTCACCTTCCTCTTAGAAAGTACATAAGCACATATCCAAGTGATTCTAAATCATCCCTGCGGCTTTGTTCTGTGCAACACAGAATAACATGATCAGAATCACATGAAGGGAGGGTGAGGGAGAGAAAAAGTTAAGAGAGAGAGAGAGAGATGGCTTACCAATGCCAAGGTGAGTATTCATGCTTGCATATCTTGCAGTGCCTGTCAAATTCTTATTTTCTCTGCGGTTATACAAGTATCAAAGTAGTTTTATTTTTGAAAACTGCACCCTTCATATATATTCTCACTCATAGATATTAACAGCATGTCATTTTTTTTTTCCAAGGAAACACCTAAGATAAAAGGCTAAGCAAGACATATGAAAGTCACAACACTTGAATTTGGATAGTACCCCAAAGAAAAGGCTAAGCAAGACACTATTGATCACAATATAAAGATTAAATTGCTTTTAAAGAAGATTGGGTGGTTTTCTTCCTTAATCATTTGTTTGTGGTTTAGACACTGACCCCTCCAGCCCTCAATCCTCCAGGTTTTGATGGTTAGCAACAGACAAAGGAAACCGATAGATAGTAAAATTACTCAACTCCCCAAAAGTATCATTAGTATAGTCAAAACCTAAAATTATTGAAAATGATTCACCATATTCCTATAATCATTAACAGCCTGGCTGATGAAACCTGCTATAGACCAGAGTCATAATTTGACCAAATGAAATCAGATTATATTTGAAGACGGTTCCTGCACCTAACATATTTTATTTAATTAAATGAAAATTTGTATTATAGATTAGTATGTGAGTAAACCCTCCACTATCTTGAAACCAACGAGAATCAACCAGCAGTGAACTAGGTATCTATTGCAGCAAGATTCTAAAACAAACAGACACAATCAAGAGCAACCACATAAAAATTTTGCCTTAAATCTTGAAACACGTTTTACTATTAAAAATAGGGACAAGAGAAACAAAACTGACAGCATTTTGGATTTAAGGCGGACTATTTAACCAGTTCATACTCGATACATCAAAGACAAAATCGAATATCGAAGAATTTAAAATAACCAACCTATAAGGAATATGCTGATGAGTTGAAGTGTCTCTATACTTCTTAGCGAGACCAAAGTCAATGACGTAAATCTACACGAAAGAAGAGATAAACTTATGCATTTAGATAAAAATGCAAAATCACAACCAAAATTACAGTGAGTTGCGCAGAACTCAAAATCAAAATAAAAAATCAATTTAATCGCAAGTTCCAAGTACCTGATTTGCTCGCCGACCCAAACCCATTAGGAAGTTGTCTGGTTTGATATCACGGTGTAGAAATGATTTGGAATGGACAAACTCCACTCGATTGATCTGACACAAATTTCAATATTAAGATTATCAAACTGCAAAGATTCTAGAAGAGTATGCATCGGTGAAAAGAATCCTACCATTTGATCTGCAAGCATGAGAACAGTCTTCAGAGACAATTTTCTACTGCAAAAGTTGAATAAATCCTCAAGACTAGGTCCCAGTAAATCCATCACAAGAACATTGTAGTCTCCTTCAGTGCCAAACCATCTCACATTTGGAATTCCAGCTGCCAAAGTTGTATACAGTGGCCAGTTCAGAAAGAGAAGTAATAGACCATGCACAATATTGAAAAGAAACATGGATAGTGGTAAAGGCATTACTTCCTCCCTGTAGTATTTTGTACAACTTTGATTCATACATCAATTGTGGATGTTTCGTCTTGACATTTTCCTGAGAGAAAGAAACATGGATAATGAAATTTAAGCAACTGAAACATTGATTATCAACAACATAATTCAGCATGCAGCAAATTGTGGAAATGCATATTATTAAAAATAAAAGAATCAGCAAACCCATCCAAATATGCAAAGAAAGATTAAATATACCAATCAGAATTCTGGCATTCATTCTCACAACAGAGTTTAGCGGATCAGACTACAGCAGTCTATGTGTTAATGAGAAACATTACAATCACACAGAGACTTACTAAAGAAAAGAAAAATAATAATGCATAGGGAACAATGAAAGCATTACAAAGTTCACGAGCACTAGAGCCTCAGCACTGTAACCTAGCAAACACCAAGAGTTGTAGACATTCCAAAATCTACTTCTATTGTGGGTATACATCTTCACACAGATACAAGTTCAAGAGAGTGTCCTAGCTCAAGAGGACACATGAATCATTGTATTAGGTGGAAACTTTTAAAGCCTACCAAACTAACAGGAATTGACGCCATATCATCAAACACATTACCCCACTTGGGACATCCCGTACAGTCAAACGACATGCCCCAAACTCAGCTGAACCATACAAATCATATTTTGCATTTTCAAGTTATAATTTCCCAGTATCACCAAATTTCAACCACTCGCAACGCAGAAGGTAGGTAGATAGATACTGAGTTCAGTTACAACTGTGAACATTACGCCCTAGATTGTAATGCCCTCCTTAAGATCACACCAGAAAAACACATTTTAAGAGCCACCAAAGTCTCAATTATGGATTAAAATCAGCCCAAATTTCCACTTCTACAACACTCCTCCCAATAAAGTTTATTACTATACAGTATGATCATCAACTAGCAATGACGGAAAAGATAATCATACATAGCATAAATATCCAAGAAAAACCATCAATTTCCTAATGCCGTAGAAAAAATAACATGTAATTCAACTCACAAGCTTAATCGCAACCTCCTCGTTTGTCTGAATATTAGTACCTGAAAATCACAGCACAAAAAGAATAAAAAAGAAATTTGACAGAATTTTTCTTTAAAAAAAAAAAGCAAAGCAAAAGACACCAAAAGTAACAGAACAAAACCTAGGTAGATCTCTCCGAACGATCCGCTACCGATCTTCCGGCCAAGTCGAAACCTTCCACCAACCCGAGGCTCCATACCCCCCAAAACGCAACGATCACAGAGAAATCCTAGCCCTAAATGAAAACCCTAAGACCAAAAAAATCCCTAAAAGAAAGAGACACAAAAGAAAATTGGGGACCGTACAAGGCCTTGACCAAACCTAAGTCTTGGAGAGGAGTTAGATGGATAAATCAGCAGCGGAAGAAAGTAGATGGGGACAGGGACGGGAATGGAAGGGATGAGTAGGGGTAAAAGTGGAAAGCCGAGGGACTTTCTCTCTCTAGAAGTCTAGGGTTAGAGTGAGAGGGAGAGATTCGAGAAGACCACGAGAGAATGCGTTATGACTCTCTCACACCATGTCGCGTTCGAAGCGCGATTTTCCTACGGCCTTTATAAAGACTCTCCCCCCTTTCGTTTCTGTTTTCGGGTAGTCAGCACCGACGACGTCGTTTTTTAATAACACATATGCATAGCATATTTCGTCAATTTCCTCCCTTTCTATATTTATTTTTTCTCTTCCTTTCTCTTTGTTCAATGAAATGAAACCCACGTTTTGTTTTTGTTAGCTGCAATGAAAAACACGTGTTTTTAGAGGGAAATGTGAAACCATAACGCAACCGAAAAAGTGAGAGAGTATACTTTCTTCTATCGTGAATTCGCCAATCGGATATTAGTCGAATTCAAGATACAATAACTCTTGATGGTAAGATAAATTCGGCAAGTTATAAGAGAACCGACAAACAAAATAAATTTTCGTTTTTCTGTTTGTGATGTAAGACAAAACCAACGAGTTGGAAGGGAACCACGAAAAAAAAGGGGTTTTCAAATGTAAGAATTTAATTTGATATTATTAATGTGCATTTTGGGTTTTCTAAAAAGAATTATATAAAAAAAAAAAAAAAAAAAAATTGGAATGAGAATAAACTATGTACTCTTTTTAGGCCTAACATGTCTGGAAAACAACCAAACTAGTTTAATAACATGGATGATAGGTTAGGTGAACAAGATTTTATAGCTATGTTTAATAAATATGACAGTGGAGGAGAGAGACTTTTTATGGTTATATCACACACAACCACCTTGATATGAAGTCAGAGATATGATGATTTAAAATGAACTTTCACTCTTCTTTGGTGAAATTTGTCTCACTAGTCTTTTATAAAACAAATTATTTAGTGGAGAAAGAGAACCTACTTTGCATGAAGCAAGGTTTCACTACAGATAATATATATGCTTATATTAAGAAATTGTGTGTTATATATGGTAATAAAATAGTAGCAGGATGATGTGAAAGTTTAATCTTGTGTATAAATGAGTTCATATTAAATAGCAAGATAAGAATGGACATTCATTTTATTAGTAGACTATACTGGTTGTTTAGATTTAGTAAATGCATCAATAAGTAGCCTACTCAATTAGACTTTGAATTGAATTGGTCCAACAATGCATCAAGGGATCAAAAGTTACTAGAGCAATGCTTGAATTAGTCACCCTTACGCAACGATTAGCGGGCGACTGTACCTAACAAAATCTTGTGTTGAATTAACGTTTTTACGATACATTATTTGGTTTCGGTAAACAATTGTTTTACTTGGTCCATTGGGTTTTAAAGATCAACCTCAAGGCACCAGGGGCAGCACAGGGTTGATTGATTGAACTGGAAAGGAACTTGAACTTAAAATAATAACATGGTTTTGAGAGTTGTGTCTGTAAAGTCCAGAAGATATGTAGAACAACATGTGGGGCAAAGAAACATAGACAAATGACATCTATCTTCACTCACTTTAAATCTTACAAGATATTGTACATATAACAGCTCCAAGGCTTTTTCTATAATGAATGGGACTTTTAACCAACCCCACATAAGTGGATAAAACAATACCAAGAAAAGAATTACAAAGGGCCACAACGATAAAACTGCAATCGGCCTCAAACCCTAAAAAATTAAGATTTTCAAAACTGTATAATCATGGACATGGTCACAACGGAGACATCGGACTTTGTGTACTTACAGGGGTATGCTTCTTTTGCAGCTTCCCTCTCAAATGTCTGATCTTGGCATCCACTCTAGCCGTAAACCCGATCTTGGTTTCTTGTCTTGCTTTAGACGCTTCCCGCTTCCACATGCGCTGATCCTCAACATCTTTCTTGTAGTATTTGATTTCTTGGATGATATGATGATCCATTGGATTGAAACTTCTTTGGAAGGCTAAGTGGACAATGTAGGGAAGATTACAAGCAATTGTTACTAAAAGGGTGGCTGACCAAAATAACGGTGCAGGACCAAGAGCTTCAACTAGAATTTGATAGGCATTCTTGGAGTGAACTGGGGACAGCATGCCGTAAAGTAAGAGAAATAGGTACCACATTGCAATACTGCCCCACACAAAGAGGTGCTGAATCCATGTAAAGTGGCTCATTGTGAGAGCAATCTGGCAGTTAACAGCCCAGACAATGCAACTGAACATCGTGGTACCCATAGCAGCCATATCAGCAGTCTGGCCATTAGAACGGAAGGCCTGGTCATAGAAGATGATAATGTTGAGGAAGAAGATGATTAGAGAGCAATAGACACCATTGCCCATCCACCCCAGTATCCTGTACCAGTCGAAGAACAAATTTCTAGGTCCTTGCTGATACAATGCAGGGAACTGCAAACAAATAATTTTTTAAATGTCACCACGGAGCCATAGAAAAAGGTGTTTAGTTGTTAACAAGGGCATTGTTTGTAGGACTAACCTGTAAGCAGACCTCAGAAGACACGTCTTGTTCAAAGACTCCAAGTGATATGACAGGCAATGAGGTAAGAATGACATTGAACGATAACATGTACCAGTCATCATATATTGATTGCCCAGAGAAACCCGTGAATGCCTCAAAGTAGAAGAGGGTGAGGCCAAATGCAATATTTTTGTAGAAGAAATAGCAAACCTGGATGCAAAATATCCCCATTAATAGGTGGATGACTTTACAAATAAATAAATAAAGACATGGGCACACACACATGCAAATTTGTTTCTAGTATGAAGCGTGTGCCTTTGACCAAACATACAGCACTTGCAAAATTACAAACTTATCAAGTCAATGAAAGTAAAGTACTAAGATGGACATTTATTGATATTACCATCTGAGCAATCCTCTTATAGCACCAATGCCCATGGACTACCAAAAGTCTCTCCAAAAACCGAAACTGGGCAATTGAAAAATCACTAGCCATCACAGCCTGCAGGTAAGTACCAAGTATTGTGAGATTCACCATAAACAAGAAAAAATTCATGCTTCTACATTCCGCTCAGGATACTTTGCTTCCCATTCGGACAGCTAATACAAACCTTCTCGCAATTAATCCAAATATGATGCACACACACATACAAATGTATACCAAAATAGAACACAGACCAAATTCGGAGGGCACTAGAGAAATTTGGGTTTAGAGTGATTATGCCCCTGGAAATTGTGAACGTGATCAATTTTAATGGAAAATATAACAGACTAAGTCATGTCAAGATTTAAAAACACTTAAAAGTTCAGGGGGCAAGGTAAGCCATCTTAAAATTCCAAGACCAAAGTGTCAATAAATCATAAAAGAAAAGAAAATGTTAAATTAATTTTAATTGATGTGGCTGTCCACCTCATCTGCCACATAAGGTGGTATGGGAATGTGGTATACAAATGTGGTAAGAGTAGCATTATTTTAAATGTTTATAACTTTACCTGTGCCTGGTAGGGGTTGACAGCTACTAGCTAGTGTATAAAAGAAATTGATGATATTCTGTGTATGAATTTTGAAGATAATAAAAGAAAAAAAAAAACGTAGCAACAATAGTAGATTATAAGAAAGAGTAGTCAGAAAAGATACCAACCTGCATACCTTCAACCCCACTGATTCCAACACCAATGTCAGCTTCTTGTATCATTCCAACATCATTTGCACCATCGCCAATTGCTAATGTGGTTTTTCCAGTTCCTTGTTTGACTAACCTTGTTACCTAGTGTAAAAACAACTGAACAAATGAAGAAACAGCACGGCTATACCCACATTCATAAGGATATCTTACTCATTTGACAATTGAAATGGAAAAATGAAAAAAATTTGGAATTGAGTAATAGCAAAAAAAAATCCATTTACCAGTGCCTTCTGCTTGGGAGAGACACGGCAGCATATGACTGATGCACAGTCAACAGCTAATCCCAAGAATAGATGCTTCATATCATCCTCCAAAGCATAGGTTAAAGTTTTTCCATCAATAATTAATGCAAATGCTGCATGTGGATCTTTCTCCAACTTGATCATTTGTGAGGCATTGGTAATTTGATTCAAAATGTTATCTTTCACAGCCTGATCATTAGTCAAAAGACACAAAGTCTAACATTATATAAATAAATCTCCTGAAAAAGAAAAAAAATCATGTTCCTTTTCTCAATGAAATATATACCTCTTTGCTATCTTGTCCCAACGTGTCGAAATTCGCTGTTGATATACAGATCTGCTTCATGCCCTGTCGGAGCAAACTACATGCAAATCTGCACAGCAAAAACCCCAAAAAATAAAATAAAATCATTACATACATCTAAAGGAGCATATTCAACAGATACAACAGGCAATGTTTCATAAGACAATGCATAACAGTGCTTTCTGCTTTAGTGGTTAGAGACAAACCCTATGTTGATTGCAGTTTCCATCTTATCCCCTGTCAAAACCCATATCTTAAGACCAGCTTGTGCAAGATTGTCTATGCATTGGGGCACCTAAAGAGAAGGAAAAAAAAATGAAGCTAAGTTGCCGGAAATCAGAAAGGCAACAAATCAAATTACGGCTATAATCAACCACGTATATACCCCTTTTTGCAATTTGTCCTCCACAGCCGTTGCACCAACAAGGATCAAATCTCTTTCCATCTTATCTGCTACTCGCTCAAGCATTCCATCTCTATCAGCCCCAATAGATGTTTTTGCTTTCTGAAACTCATTGCTCCAAGCAGAGTACTCAGCCTCCTCAAGCTTTCTATAAGAAAGTGCCAATGTACGCAACCCAGCTTCTCCATATTCATTCAAATGCTTAGTAGTAGCTTCTTCGTACATTCTTCCATTCTTGGAAAGTCGATCAAAAATGATGCTGCATAAGCCAAGTAAAGAAATGATTCATGGGAACCAAAGTGGATAAGAAAACATAAAAAGTATAAGAAATAAATCCTTGTTTTCCTCTCTCCCTTTCTTTCTCATACCTTCTCTTTTTCTTTTCTTGGAAGGGAGGGAGGGAGAGAGGGAGAGAGAGAGAGAGAGAGAGAGATGAGATAAATTTATTGAACAACTGTTTATTACAGCTCGATACTTCAGTTTATAGCTTTAAAGCCTCCAACTGCTT